TCTCTCTCTCACACACAAAGAGTTTACAACCCACAGCAAAAGTATCCTACGTGAAACAAGGTAAAAACAAAACTTAATCTAAAATAAGAAGAAAACGACATAAATCATAGTTCTAGGCTACGACGATTGATGTTTTAATTGGGTAGTAATTAGGCTAATGAAACAAATACAAGGAAAATACAAAAAACAGAAAATAGAGAAGCCATTTATACCACCTAAAGCCACACTTACACATACCAGTTACACTCTTCGTTCGTAGAGCAAAACTGCAATATGACACGCAAAATGAGCAACACACACTAAAAAAAAACAAAGCAAAGAATTCACAGCAGAAAGCTAAAACAAAAAGGAGACCAGCCAGCGAAATATGCTGGGCCGCGCACCTATCCCCTGTAGCAACACCTTGATGTGATGATAATACACGCAATAGATGAAATCGTGTCTCGGTCGAACATTGTTCACACATACCTGCAAGAAGGAAAAAACAGCTAATTCAAAATAAAAAAGAAATTTAAATTTCGATAAGTTAAACCAACTCGAATCTGTTCGATGTGAAAACAAGAGAATAATTATAAATGATACTGCAGCGGAAGAAGATGAACAATTGAATGGGGGCAAAAAGTCAAAACCCAATCTCAACAAATGAACAACACACGTGGAAAGAGAACAAACAAACACACACACACACACTTCTTCAAGTGAGATAAATTATTACCCTGTTGAAAAATAACTGCACGACGCGGTTTTCAATTATCCGAACCTCCCTGCAAATGGTGCATCTCAATCGGTAGAATTGAACTTACAAAAGGCTCTTCGATCTGCTGAGCGATCCGGCTGGAGAAGTTATCTGCAAACAGTCGCAGTTTAATTGAATGTTGCCTAATTCTTACTTACCTTACCAATCAGGCTAAGGCCTTGCTGTCCTCTGCTGTCCGAAGAAGTCGTCTCCACTCTACTCGATCCATGGCCACAGTTCGCCAGCCTCGTAGTCTGCGAAGGGTCCGCAGGTCACCTTCTACTTGGTCGATCCACCTTGCCCGCTGCGCGCCTCTTCTTCTTGTTCCTGTTGGGTCGCTTTCTAGAACCATTTTCACTGGGTCGTCGTGCGGCGGCCCAGCCCACCGTAGTCGCCCAATTTTTGCAATGTGGACGATGGATAGTTCTCCCAGCAGCTGATGCAATTCGTGGTTCATTCGCCTCCTCCACGTTCCGTCATCCATCTGCACTCCACCGTAGATGGTACGCAACACCTTCCGTTCGAAAACACCAAGGGCGCGTTGGTCCTCCACGAGCATAGTCCAGATCTCGTGGCCGTAGAGGACCACCGGTCTAATCAGCGTCTTGTAGACAGTCAACTTAGTGCGGCGGCGAATTTTATTCGACCGGAGCGTCCTCCGGAGTCCAAAGTAGGCACCATTCCCTGCCATAATGCGTCTTTGAATTTCTCTGCTGGTATAATTTTCGGCGGTCACCAGTGAGCCCAAATACACGAACTCATCGACCACCTCGATTTCGTCACCGTCAATCTGAACTTGGGGTGGGAGGCTAACATTATCTTCCCTAGAACCTCTTCCTTTCATGTATTTTGTCTTTGATGCGTTGATGGCAAGTCCAATCCGTCTAGCTTCAGCCTTCAGTCTGATGTACGTTTCCGCCATCATCTCAAAGTTCCGTGCCATAATGTCAATGTCATCGGCGAAGCCAAGGAGCTGGATGGACTTCCTGAATATCGTGCCACTCGTGTCTATCCCGACTCTTATGATCACACCTTCTAACGCGATGTTGAACAGCAGACACGAAAGTCCATCACCCTGCCGTAACCCCCTTCGAGATTCAAAGGGACTCGAGAGTGTACCCGATACTCGAACTTCCTGCACATTCGGTTGCCGTCAATGGATGGCAATCGATGTCCGTCGGTGATTGGCACTAGATTGCGGAACAGGGACCGACATTAAATAAAGGAAAAAAAAAAGAACGCTTCTTTCTCGTCGTCGGGTCTCCGTTCGTGTGGGCAGTGGACATTGATGATACTGTAGTTGAAGAAACGGCCCTTAATCCTCAACTTGCACATCCTCGCGTTGATCGGCTGCCAACCAATCACGCATTGGCGCATCTTACCCAGCACTACAAAGCCGGTTCCCAGCTCGTTGGTGATGCCACAGCTCTGGTAGAAAGTAGCCGCTCGATGCCGTTCAGCAAAGTTCCTGCAGTGCTACGACTTCGAAGTTGCGTGGTTGAAGTTCGTCATAGATTAACCTATCGCAACCCGGGAAGCCGAGCGATTTGCAGTTCCATGTTCCGAGTTTCCAATCGTAGTCCTTATTTCGTCGCGTAGGTCTGTGCCGATTGTTCCGATCCGTAGTTCTTTCTTCGGTATTTGCAACTTTGTTTTTTTTCAGGGCGGCTTGTTGGGCCTGTCCCAACCCCCTGTCTCGCCGGGGGACCATCGTGCACAGCTCTGTTTAGAGTCCCACGCTGGCACTAGGACGGTGAACAGACGCCGTTTTGAGCCGCACCTCCATGGTGAACAGACGCTCGGGTTTGGTGAAGCATTTCCTCTATCACCGTACTATCATAGAGGTAACTCTAAGACCAGAAGGTCCCGAAATAACGTTCTCAACTTTTTGGCTCAGCTCTGGTACTCTCTTCGGTCCCAAACTAATCGATTCACCCCTCGAAACATAGGAAAAACCAATTTTATCTGTCAAACTTTCATAGCAAATCAAAACAAACATTGCGTAGTACTAGAATTTCGACTAGAATGGGATACGTTAATCGTTTGCTTGGAACCAATAGGCTAGTCAAGTAGTGAGCCAATTTAAAATCGTAGGTTTCGTATTGATTGTTGGTACTATGGTTACCGCGCCAGTGTTCGCGTCGCATCTCTTCACTTTGCTATTGCCGGACTGGCAACATTGCCCAGGCTACGCCACCCAGCTGTGTCCATGTTTCAGCTGGTAGTCTTTTGTTATCATATGACTCGAGGAGGCGTGAAGTAGGAACTTGTGAGGACCAGGGGTAGGTATTCCGCTCCTTCCAGGTTGTCAACTCACCATTTTGTAACGAAGGAAGCTAAACAAATGGTTGAATCAATCGAGATTACTTCTGCAAATTATGTTGTTGCGTGGGAGTTGCTCCAATTACGTTACGACAATAAAAAGCTCATTGTCAAAATTTATCTCGATGCGCTTTTCTCAATAGAACCGGTCAAGCGAGAATGTTATAATTCCCTCGTTCGGTTGATCGACAATTTTGAACGGAACCTAAAAATGGTTCAAAGGATGGAGATAGACACTGAAGGCTGGAGTGTTCTATTAGCTTACATGGTTTACACACGGTTAGATTCGTCAACTTGGTAAGTCCAATTAGAGTTCCGAATGAACGAACTTCTAAAGCCAACCCCGGTGACTATCGTCGTAATCATCGATCACATCACTCACGACAACGAATGCATTGATCTAGTTTGAAAAATAACCCTTTCCTTGGAAATTGGACAAGCGAAGACGTAACATTGGTCTCATATAAACAACGAATTGGTTAATGAGCATATGATACATTCTAGGATAGTTCAGAAGGCAAGGCCAGCGGCTTGTGAACGGAAGGTAGATGGTTCGAATCCCATGCAAAAACATGACATGTATGTATGTATATGTATAATAAGTTTTCTAATATAGGGTGTCCTAAAAGGTATACATTTCAACTCGCCGCCGTTTCTACCCCGATGAAGCTGTTCATCGATGTTTGTGTCCGCAAAATACATTTGTTTGTATAAAATAATCAAAATGCGAAGCATTTCCCCGGAAAAGCGCTAACACATCGTGCACAATGGTGCACTATTCCCAACATATCAGTAAGGAAGTTGGTGAAAATGGAGGAAGTAAGTATCGGAGGACACATCAAAATCTGGCCGTAAACCAAGCTTTCGTCAATAAGAAAAGTGCTTAGCATAGCATAGCATAATTCAAGTTGCACACACTCGTAGGAGGTACGAGATCTAAACCGATGTTAAGAAGAAGACTCACCTTTATCCGTTACTGCAAGCAAGTGATTTGGGATTAATCACTACCTTCATCAATAAGAAAAGTGCCTCTTGACAAAAGATTTGACAAAAAAAAACGGAGAACATCGAAGAGTAACGTTCAACGTACCAAGACAAGAAACGGGCAGAGGAAACGGAGTCAGAAAACAGGTCGCATCCGTCAAACCGAGGGCTGCTGTGTTGAAAATTGGCGGGTGTTATCATGGACGATGAAATATACGTCAAATTTGACTACAAGACAGTCCGTGATGGTTAAGAAGTTGACGATGCCGATAAGTCAATTTTTACCAAACAATTTGGTAAGAAGGCCATGGTTTGGCAAGCGATATGTGAGTGTGGCAAGTTGCCAAAGCAATTTGTGACGAAGGAGACGATGAACAATGACATTTTCATTCGGGATCGTTTGAATCGGCGTCTGCGGTCCATGATCCGATTTTGGTCCGATTTGGTGTCAATGAACAACTTGAAAGACACCGTAGCTTGGTACAAAGCAAACAAAGTGCAATACGTGCCAAAAGAGATGAATCTTCCTGAATTGTCCGGAGGCCCGGTCAATCGAAACTTTGTGGGCCCTTTCCAAGGGATATCTACGGAAACACTTTAAGGCAACGAATACAATCGAAGAATTTGAAAACGACTGGACAAAAGTGGCCAACATTATCACCAAGGAATCTGTGCTGAAGCTCATGGGCAGCGTTAGATTAAAAGTGCGCTCACATGGCATACGATTAAAGGAACTGCGAATTATTTTCATCCAATTGAAAGAAAATACTATAGAGAACGTATATATGCAATACAAATTTGAGTTCATTAACATCACGTTATTTTATTCCAATAATAAACTGTGTTTTTACTTTTTGGGACACCCTATATATGTGTGGTGCGTGGTTTCGTCAGAAATAATGAACACAAATTACTAAAGAGAAGCAAACCCTGTCTCTATTCTCGGCTTGTTTTCGGATTAATTTTCCCGCAGTTGGGTATTCAAATAATCCCGGCTCCAGGCACGCCAGAATTGCTCGCGCATAAGTTGGAGATGTTGCCACCGTGTCAAGCGGGATGCTTTGACGTTCTCCAGGGAAGGTTCAGCTGGGACGATCAGCGGTCGTCCAATCAAATAATGCGCTGGAGTTATCACCAGCGGGTCCGCCGGGTCGTTGGAAATTTCAAAATTGGTTGCGTTGTCCGAATGGATTTCTTGGACCATTCCACGGCGAGCGATAAATCGTCGAAGGGACGCCATGAAGGCATCGGTACTCAAATCGGAGACGCCCTCCAAATGGACGGCTTTGGTTGCCATGCAAACATAAACGGCCACGTACGACTTCACCAAAGTTGGACGACGTGTGCCTTGCTTGGTCCAGAAAGGCCCGGCGTAATCCACGCCGGTCACAGCGAAGGGGGGTGACGGCACTACTCTCGATACTGGCAGGTTTCCAATCAATTGGTTGGGAGTGGTACGATTCGTCCGGAAGCATCTCACGCACCGGTGTGTGATAAATCGGATGGTGGATCTTGCGTTCAGCAACCAATAACGTTGTCTCATGACGTTCATCAGGCCCGTTTGCCCAACGTGAAGGAGCTCGACGTGCATTTGTTGAATTAGTAGTCGTACTACCGGATCCTTATCTGGCAGAATGATTGGATGGCGACTTTCGAATGGTAATTGGGAGCGGTCCAACCGACCACCTACTCGAAGCTGTCCGTCGTGGTAAATTGGACGAAGACCTCCGAGTCTCTTGCAGGGTTTGTTTGCCAGAATTAGCTTATTCTCGTCGGAGAAATGTGCCTTCTGCAAAACTTGCATGATGACTTCAGATGAGCGGCGTAACTCACGGACGGTCAGATGGGGCTTTATCTCTCGATTGGTCGGGTCCTTTTTCTGACAATTGGCAGTGAATCGCAGGACATAGCCCACAACTCGTTGGATTATGCGGAAGCTACTGAGCTTTGGAAGAAAAGATAGGAAGTCCATACTCACATCTGGCCCTGCTACCAAGGCCTTAAGTTCCGGTAGCTTCTCGTCTGGAACGTCTTCAGGGGCATCTACGTAGTACTCAACTCATTGCAGGAATTCGGGCCCATTCCACCAAAGGCTGTTGTGCTTCAGGGATTCAACTAGTTGACCTCGGGATACGATGTCTGCTGGGTTCTGTTGGGACCGGACATACTCCCACCGGTACTTACTGGTATGCTCTTGTATAATTGCGATTCGATTCCGTACAAACAACTGTAGCTGGTTGAGAGGTTTCTTAATCCAAGCGAGGACTACCGTACTGTCGCACCACAGGACTATTTCACGGAAAGTCATATCCAGGGCTGGTAACACCTTCTGTACCAACCGGGTTAGTAGGAGAGCGGCGCACAATTCCTTTCGTGGGATGGACAGCTCTTTTAGGGGAGCCAGTTTCGATTTGCTGGTGAGGAGACGAAGCTTCGCCGAGCCATCGCCAAAAATACTTCGCAAAAAGATGCAGCCTCCATAAGCCTTGTTGGAGGCATCAGAGAAGCTGTGCAGCTCGTAGGCGACCACGTTGTCCATCGTCACGCGCCTTGCGATCTCGATCTCGTGAAGATGCGACAAGGAATCTTGGAGTTGTCGTCACTGCTGTGCGATGTCTTCGTCAACCAGGTCGTCCCACCCGGACTTAAGCTGCCACAATTTCTGCGCTAGAAGCTTCGCCAAAACAATGACCGGTGAAACCAGTCCCAGGGGGTCAAAAAACTTGGCGATCTCGGAGTACATCGTTCTTTTTGTGGGCCATTGCGAATGCAATGTTGGGTTTGGACGATAGGCTATGAGTATCGAGTCTGCAGAGGGATCCCAGAGTAAACCAAGCACCTTGATGGCTTCATTCACTCCATGCTCTTCCAACGTGATCCTTTTTTCTTGATCCTCCACGGGAATATGCTCTAGGAATTCCGGTGAATTTGAGCACCACTTGTGAATGGGGAAACCTCCTTGTCCAAGGAGCTGCTTCAGCTGTTGTTGAGCCTCGATAGCGTCCTCCACCGAGTCTGCACCGGAGAGTACATCGTCCATGTACGTTTCTTCTTTCACAATACGAGCGGCGACAGGAAAGTCCTCACCATCCTCTTCGACGAGCTTCAGCAAACACCTGGTTGCTTGATATGGTACCGATGCCGTACCGTACGTAACGGTACAGAGTTCCTTGACTTGTAGGGGTAACGATGGGTGCTCTTTATAAAAGATTCGAAGGAAACTACGATCCAACAGGGCTTTGAGTATTTGACGGTACATTTTAGAGATGTCTCCGGTGATGGCAACCTTGAATTTTCGAAACTGTAGCGCGATATGGTGCAGATCGTTCTGTACTACTGGACCAAACTTGCAGTACATCGTTCAGGGAGAGTTCCGATGGCGACAACTTTGCACTTGCGTCGAACACGACTCGACATTTCGTACTCGAGCTGGACGGACGTAACACTGCATGATGCGGCAAATAGTAGGTTTGCTTGTTGGGTGGATCTTCAGACTCGTTGATCTCGGTGCAGTGGCCGAGAGCTTCGTACTCCCGGATGAAGTTCACGTACTGAGCCTGCAGCTCGGGATTGCGGATTAATCGCTTCTCCAAAATCAGGAATCTTTTCAAAGCTAGACTGCGACAGTTATCCAATTGGAGAAGATTGTCCTTGAACGGCAGTTTCACGATGAATCTTCCAGTTTCGTCACGTTGGCAGGTGGAAAGGAAGTGGGCTTCGCATGCTGCTTCCTCGGTCGATAGCTTGGGAACGTCCGGAACCTCCTCGACTTGCCAGAACCGGTGCATCCTTTGCTCAAGGTCTTCAACGGCTGTGTTGGATTGGAGCGACACGTTTGACACGAGCTGATCATTGATGGCACCTGCTACGATCCACCCCAGATAAGTGTCTCACACTTGTGGAAGACCTTCGGCTAGGCTCAGCTGACCAGGTTTCAGGATATCGAAGAATAACTCCCCACCGATCAGCAAGTCCACCTTATCCGGACTGTGGAACTTGGGATCAGCTAGGATTACCCCTTCAGGGATCGTCCATTTGGTGATGTCTATTCTCGATGCAGGGATCGTGCCAGTCACTCTCGGGGTAACCAGACACTCGAGGCTTGCGTGGAAATTGGATACACGGGACTGGAACCTGACCACCACCTTGTCTCGGGCGAGGGACCGTAGGGCGTTGATTCCCACGATCGGAACGTTGGCTGGTTTCTTTGGGAGGCCTAGGCGGTTACAAAGTTGACTTGGGAGCCGCTGTCCAACAGTACCCGGCACGGATATGGGTGGTTATCTTTATCCAAGACATGTACCACTGCGGTCAGCAACAGTACCGTCTTGGGAAATGAGACAACATTCGACGAACAGGTTGTTGACACTGGTGGATCCACTGGGGCAGGAATCGTCTGCACCGACATCGGTTGATTCGGAGCAGCCGGAACCAGAGGCGGGCTTGCCACTGCTTCCGCGGAAACGTTGGACTTCTTCTCATAGCGGGGTGCCCCATCATCATGGAGCAACGTGTGGTGTCGGCGTTGACACTTGTGGCACGATTTGTCGGAAGGGCAGTCCTTGGATCGATGCCCTTTGCGCAAGCAGTTGAAGCAGACTCCAGAAGTTCGTATCTTCTCATTCTTTTGGGCAGGAGTAAGGTTGGACAAGGCCGAGCACTGGTGGTTGCGGTGAGAACCACCACAAATTTCACACAAGTTCGTCAGTTGGGATGGGCTGGTCGATGCTGCATGGCTCTTTTGCGGATGGATCTTCGATGGTGGAAAAGCTTGCTTGATTTGGCACCTGGACTTCAGGAAGGCAATGGTTGGTTCGTATTTGGGAAGATTTCCTTTTTTCTGGATCCCTTCCCAGGCTTTGCGGGTTGATTTGTCGAGCGCGGAGACTACCTGATACACAATCATGTGCTCCGAAACGCCAGTGATCTGCTGCTGGAGGAACTTCAGGCTCTCGACGTGGTGAGTAACTTCGGTTAGCAGACCTCTCAGCTCCTTATGGGTCTCCGATGACATCTCTCGTAGTGAAAACAGACCACGGATGTGGGTTTCTACGAGAACCCGCTTGTTTTCGTAGCGATCCTCCAAAATGTCCCAAGCTTGTTGATAATTCCCTTCACTAAGGATCTTGGTATTCAATGTATTCAATACACCAGCTGCATCTCCGATGAGCGCTTTATCGAGGTGATACAGTTTTATGGCGTCTGTATCCCCCGAGTGAGCCATCAAATCCTGAAAGACGGCTTTGAATTTAGGCTGTGAACCATTTGCCGAGTTAAATTTAACTCGTGGTTAAAAATGACATTTCGAAAGTTATTTCTTATGTTCGAAAATCCCCGTGTTGTCGATCGACCGGTTTTCGAGCCACGGTCGCAGCGCTGCCATTTATACAGATTTATCTGTATTATACAGATTTTTTAATCTTAATACAGACCCGATACAGAATACAGATTTATCACAGATTTTTAAATTACAATACAGATTAATACAGATTTTTATAAAATGCTTGAGAAAAAAAATCTATATCAAAATAAGTTATCAAGCAGTTCTCACTAATATCAATATATGTTATAATTTTGATATTCTTCGCATATCTTTTAGCTCTCATTTTTGTTCTGTTAGCCATCAACTCCATCAAAATGAAATCAATTTGAGTTATCAGGAATAATGAAAACAACATAATTCTTGTTTTCATTTTGTTCTCACCCTCTGCTCGGGAACCTATCAAATTTCCATCGACAATTAATCATGTTATGGTGTTTTTGACAGCATTCACAACCAGAGGACCAACCGCTTTCGGATGCATATGGAGCTGGTAGTAAACGATTTGAGATTGTATGGGGATTTACAGTATTAATTGAATATTTCCAATATAAGCATGTATGTTAAATACAAGAAAAGTGCCCTAGCACATTAAAATGGTACAAATACAAGTACTCGTAAACATTTTACTTGCATTGAAAATGTATTTCGTAAGAAATTGCGGATTTTCTGATATTCTCCATACTGCAAAAATGATTTTACCAGCACTGGCGGGGCGACATCTCTCGACTTTTCGGAGTAACTACCACACAAATGATGTAATTAATTGTATTCATCTATATTAAAAATATCAAATAGTAATGAACTCGTGCACTTTTTTGCATTTAAAACTGCTAATCAGGAAGATAATGAATAGAAACTAAAATCTCCATACATTTTCAAACGGCTTCATATCACTCTTATAAATAAGTACGGACGATATCACAAATGACGAAATTATATCCCGTATGGTTAGTACGATAGCCCGAATAGGTGGTTAAGCACTTTTTATGGTTATTTTGTATGCACTGTATTTGTAAAACAACAAAACATGATTAATTAAGAAAAAAATCGTCAATACAGAAAATACAGATTTTTTAATTGAGTGGATACAGATTTTTTATAAAACCACCTGGCAGCTCTGCACGGTCGTCAAAATTTAACTTCTTGTCTGTCATAAATAACCACGCTCGGATAGCAGGGTTAATTGATAACTTTCCATTTGTCAAATTTTAACCAAAAGTTAAAATAATCCTCCAAATGGTTCAGAGCCTTAGGCCACCCAGAGTAATTGCCATCGAATGTTGGAATTGGTGCGCTGAGCGGCTGCTGCTGGACGACCACCTGCGGGTTATGGACGGTTCTCGGCGATGGAGTGGCCGCGTTCGTTTGTGCTTCCAGTAACAACTCCTGCACGGCATCGGTAACATTGTTGTAGAGATCTTCGAAGTTGGCATATTCATGTTCTTGCTCGTCCAGCGCGTCATCTGGAAGAAGCGCCAGTCCTTTGCTGTGGAATCCGCTGTACTCGGTGTACACAACGGACAGGTGCTTGGACATATTTGTCAGTTGCGCCAAAGTCGGTGGTTTTCCACTAATGAGAGAACGCCGAATGTGCACAATCTTTTGCTTCACTTGTTCACGTTGCCTGGATATTCCCTGCCACTGTTTTGCAGATTCAGGATCCATTGCTGTTTCCCACTCGAAGCCGTGAAATGAACCGGAACTGCTAACTGGCGACCTAGGGATAGGGTTCCCTTGCTGGTTTTCTTCAGCGTCTTCTGGTGCCATTTATGACACCTCACTCACTACGCGGCGTATTTCAAATCTCGAAACCACAACAAAACGTATTTTTTTTCCGAAAACGCACTTCTCACTCGTGCACGTTCAAACACGTTCGTTCTAAATGCTCCGCGTCGAGTCGCAAGCGTAGTAGTTGTCGCAAGCGCAGAAGTAGTTGTTTCGTTTTGGTTGGGTACAGTTTGTGTGTTGTAGTACGTCAGTTTCCACTCAACGGGAACGGTTACTTCGGAATGGCTCGTGATCCGGCTCGAAGGACCAAATTGATGTTCCTTCTGAACGGGTTTTGTCAAGGCGAAGTGGACTGTACTGGGCTGGAGCGAACGGAGTTGGCTAGCGTCAATCGAAATTCTAAACTCAGGAGCTCTGAAAAGAGCTGGGGGGTTTTGACGCTGCTCTCCGGGACATGCAGTAGAAATGACGAATGCTGCCGACTACACTAGACACTACTGTTTATTTCTCTTCGTTTCTCGATACAAGGTGAAAGCTGCTGCTGCTGCGAACGGATGCTCGGTTGGATTCAAACTTAAACTAAAGCACTTTTTTGACTTAAATGATCTATATTTCTTGAATTTGTGTGGTTTACATGTATAGCTTATCAAGTGACACAGATGCGTCTTTTCAACTTTAGTTCCTGTGAAATTTCAATTATTATTAATTACAGTTCCTAGTCCTATCAGGCCTGTTTTAGAGAATGACCACCTTGGTGGGATTGGTTTGTTTGAAAATTTGAAAAAGGAGACTACTTATAACTACTATTTACAACTACAACTAACCTACAACTACTATATACACCTAATCTACTATATACAAATTGCTTATCAAAGCATGTTCTGATAAATTACATTTTTGTGCAAATTTAGTCTTAATTTCGTTAATTTTGGAATCTATATTGGCAATGCCTGCCTCTTCGTGTAAATTTGTTATTCTAGTGTCAAAAGGACGATCAAGTACCATCCTCAGTACTCTATTCTGAGCGACCTGGATTTTGTTCCTGTGAGTCTGTGCACATGATTCCCACACCGGAGCTGCGTAGAGGATCGCAGGTGCTATGATTTGTTTGTAGACGGCCAGTTTGTTCACCCTTGAGAGGCGGGATCTGCGGCAAATCAGCGGCAAATCAAATTACAGTACAAGATGGAGCCGGTTTCAGTTTGGGCGATTGCCGATGGAGGAACATGATCGCTTGTGTTTTGGTGGCATTGATTTTGATTTTCCACGTGGTGGCATAATCAGCAAAGGCGTTAAGGCATCGTTGAAGTTTGTTCGTTATTTCGCGAGGCATCCTTCCTTTGACGGCTATTGCGGTATCATCTGCGAACAGAAAAAACACGCAACCGTCACCGAGGGGAGGAATGTCGGAAGTGTAAATGCTGTAAAGCAAGGGGCCCAGCAGACTACCTTGCGGGACTCCTGCTGGGATCGAAAACGTGTCTGAGAGACAACCATTCAACGATACCTTAAACGACCTTTGCTGGAGGTAGTTACGGGTGATTTTAATAAGATGTAAAGGAAAGTTGAAGTTACAAAGCTTGTACACAAGTCCATCATGCCAAACATTGTCAAACGCCTTTTCAACGTCTAACAAGGCCATGGCTGTGGACTTGGATACAGCTTTGTTACTTCGGATGTTATTTAACACCCGTACTAGCTGATGATTGGTGGAGTGCCCCTTTCTGAATCCAAACT